CAACTGATTCAAAATATGATTCAAAGCTGCTGATGGGACAACCCCACCAGAATAGCATAACACAACCTATCCCCAATCATTGCATTGCCAATGGGTTGCCTTTTGGGCCCAACAGAGAATTCCACTCATTTCTTTCTCATTTCTTTTAAAACCCACCTAATGCTGCACTGGGTTATATCAGACAATGCTCAGCCAAGGTATTACAAACTCCTAGAGAGAGCCTGTTGTAACACATCTTATTCTGCAAGGACCATGAGGCATGAGATAGACAATAATGAGGGCCTCTATCTTTGGAAAGCATTGTCCCTGGAAGTGAGACTACCCTCTCCCATCTTATGTTTAAGAAGTTAAAACTCAACACTGGAGTCACCATTCAGTCCCTAGCTTGTTCTACTGCCTCTTACATATTTAATTTTTACTTGTTTTATAGTAAGGTTTTAACTGTATGTTCTATTTGGATTGTTCATTGCACAGAATCCCAGATGATTGGAGTTGACAGGCACTGGCTAATAAGTATTCCATGCAACCATTTCCCATCTAGTAAGCAAGGTAGATGTGCTCCAGGTATGCAACAGTGTCATCTTACAGGCCTTAGGAAGCACAGCTACTCTGTTGCAGTCCCTGCCTTCTGGAATGAGCTCCCCCAAGAGACTTGTGTAGCTCCCATCCTTATGATGTTCAGGAAGCTGCTAAAAACTGGAGATCTCAGAACAGGATGATTGTAAATCCCACTTTAGTTACATTTATTATGGCTGTTTTGTTTGGGTTTTGTTTGTTCTTTTTATATGTATTGTTTTTCTTTTTATCTGCTTTATATTGTCATGGATTGGGAAGCCTTGAAATTAGGTAAGTAAATAATATTCAGTTCCAATTCTCATCAATCCTAGACAGCATGGCTTATAATTAGAGTTAATGCTATTTGAAGTACAACACTGGGAGAGGCGCATGATGCCAACCTCATTCTATCACCCTCAACAATAATGAAGTGGCATTTTAAACTACACAGTTGTCATCACGGGCCAATGTTGAAACATCTCCAAGTGTTTTTCCAGCAGCATTCCAGATTAAAGATAATGCATACTGAAATGTAAACCAGCCAAAATAGAATGTCTAGGCTTGTATCCAACAGTGTAGCTAGTTTAATACTTCCAGAACTGGGTTGTAAAAATCTGTAATGCCTATTAAATAGCACTATGAACTTTGCTATCTGTGGCCATTTTGGATTTTTGCAGCCTCTAAGCTAGTTCAGCCTTTCTTAATGTGCCATTCTATAAGTATGTTGGGATAAAAGTCTCATTATCATAGTCATCCGTGTCACTTGCTAAGGCTGAAATAATTACTTCAAATGTCTTTACTACTGCAGTTTTGGTCATGAAGCAACTTTGTTCTGTGCCCAGTTTTGTTCTCTAATCTACTTTTCCCTTCACGCTCTGCTCTTCAATGTACTAGAATTATTCCTGTTCCAATCCTTCTTTCCTAGAACTTTTAAAGCATCCTCTATCCTTTGGCTTTCCTCATTTTACTTTTTATCAAAGTCCTATTTCCTCAGCTCTGCCTTTCCAAGGATATTGAAACCAAAAAGGTCTATAGGAAATATTAAGGAGAATAACTACTGAGCTTTCCAACAGATGGTCATATAAGCTTTTTGTAGTTAAAAGCAATGAAGAGCCTTGTGATATCTCAAAGATTGAAGTATCTACTATTGTCTAAGCTTTTGTGATCACTTCACCAGGCACATGTCTGCGAGAAAACTGCTGTTATAAGGAGAGGAACTAAATAGTGGATTATGATCCACAAAAACCAATGTAATCATAATTTCTTCAGTTAAGTGCCACAAACCACTTTCACCCAATGCCTTCCCATATCCTTAAATAAGAAAATTAATCCTATTATCCTCCATTCTGTATTCCTTTTCTTACCTGCATACTGGGGTTGTAAGTAGAACAGGCGAGCAAATGACAGCCTTTGCATCTCACCTGGTGAAAGAATGTCATACCTGCATCAAAAATAAGAAACAGAACAATCCACAATAAACACTATTACTCTGGTCTTCCTCAGCTTTGGATCTACTCACTCCATTAACATCATCTCACTAAATAAACAGAAATGACCTTACCAGTTCCAGTCCACAGGCTGGTCCAAACCTCCTGTTCTCATTAACAAGTCTGACTGTATTAGGCACAGAAAACAACATATTAAAAACCACAACTTGATCCACCCTTATCATACAAATGCATTTGCAGACCTATCATTACAGAATCACCTTGGTTTGTTGGTATAAGCCCATGGCCAACTCCTATTTGGTCTCTGCCTTCACTCTATGTCATGACGGTTGTCACTGGAATTTATTATCCTGGTAAGGTTTGTTCAATACATCATTGTGAACCAAGGTTCAGCTTTGATACCAGTAATAAATTTAACTGCTGATGCTCAGCGTTCTCCAAATCCAGCCAACATGCTGAAGTTCATAGTTCTTCTCTTTAAGGTTTAATTATTGGCTTAAACTTAGTAAACCTTTTCATCCACTATCTTCCAAAAACTGGGGTATGAACCAATTTATATCTTTTATGTTCTAGATAACTCACCAGTCCAGCCAGCTCCAGGAACCTGAGTATCCTGTCATCATCTATAGACCCTGTGGTACAAGAAATTCAGTGGAAGAAGCATGCTAATCAAAAGGTGCTTTTTTCAGATCAGCACACTGCAAACTTTGCAGTGCTGTGAGATCCTATGTAAGACATGAATTTGTGTGACATTCCATAAAGCTAATGCCTTATTGTCTTATTGAAATTAGGGTAGAAAGGGAAAAATACACCCACTTTTTAATAATGAACATTTAATCTGTAATTGGAGATCTTTCAGATGTGGCTGGATTGCAACTGCTAGGAATCCCAGTCTGTCTGTAGCTAAGTAGGCAGATATTTTTCAATAGGAAGGTTCTGTTCTCAAGAAAGATACCGTTTATTTCTGGCCCTGCCTCTGCTGCCTCTGGCCACATTTTCAAGTCTTTTGCAACTGGAAGCAAAAGTAAAATGAGCACAGTCCTCTGGTGTGAACCTCAGCCTGGGTTGTTGTTGTATAGTTCATCTGCCGTCTTATTTTTATTCATCCCCTTTTGAAGTCTCATGAAAAGACAGGAACCAAAGATTGTTGTCCTTTTTTCTTCCTCTCTGTTCTCCTTATCCTTATGGATAAGGATCCCCATAAGACTCATATCTACCACAAGTGGAATATCCCACAACCAACTGGGATGGGGGGGGGGGCACCTCTCAATCCTTGAGAACACAAAAGTCTTTGGAGCAGGATACTATGAACTGGCATTATATTATTGGACTATAAATTCCTTTTTTATTTCTCTTCCCTTCTGGCATATCAATTTCCAGTACTGGCTTTCCTGTAATTAAGTACCGCGTTTCTCCAACAATACGCCCCCCACAATAGGAAGACCCAGCATTTTTTCCAGGCATAAAATATTAAGCCCCCCCCCCCTCCAAATTTAGGCCTAGTTTAAAACATGCGAAATTGGGGGGGGGGGGGAACTTGCCATTAGGAGTGCCCCGCGGGCAGCTACGCCTCACCATCAGCCGCTCCTAACACCATGGTGGAGCACGGAGGGCTCTCTCACCCCTCCCTTACCCAGGTCAGCAGGTGGGCGGTGTCGGCATGGATGTCCGGCAACGTTTCAGCCGCTTCTCAGGCCTTGGTAGCTTCCACAGTTCCCACCGGTGCTGGCGCCTCTCTCGCCAGCGCTGTCTCCAACAATAGCATCTGAGTCACTCCCACTTTTCTCCCATCCCCATAACAGGGAAAAAAAAAACATTTTGAGGTACCTGGGAGTGCCGCGCGCTGCATTTTGGTTTAATCCTGAGCCGCTGGGTGGGCGTGAGAAGAGCTGAGCGAGCGTCTCTGCTGCTGCTACCCTTGGTGCTCCAGCCTCGGGCTCTGCAAGTTTGCAAAAGTCCTGGTGCGCAGCCTGTTCCTGCATTCCAAGAGCCCAAGCTGAGCTGCAGCTGCCCCTCTCTCGCCAGCTCCATCTCCAATAACAGTGGCAGCAGCGGTGGGAACCATGGAAGCATTTCAGCCGCTTCTTGGGTGGGGGAGCCACCTCCGTAACTTCCACAGTTTCCACCGCTGCTGCCGCTGTTGTTGGAGACGGCGCTGGCAAGAGAGGGATAGCTGCAGCTCAGCCTGGGCTCTTGGAATGCAGGAACAGGCTGCGCACCGGGATTTTTGCAAACTTGCAGAGCCTGAGGCTGGAGTATCAAGGGCAGCAGCAGCAGAGACTCTTGCTCGGCTCTTCTCACGCCCACCCAGCCGCTCGGGATTAAACCAAAACGCAATGCGCGGCTCTCCCAGGTACCTCAAAATCTTGTTTTTCCTGTTGTTAGGGGAACGGGAGAGTGACTCAGACGCTGTTGTTGGAGATGGCGCTGGTGCGCAGGCGGGGGAGAAATTACTTCACCCCCGAAAAGATGTCCTAGCCATTTTCTCAGGGCTCAAAAAAAAAAAAAAAGGCCCGGCCTTATTTTGTGAGAAACACATCATAGAATTTGCAACCCAACACATCTGGTGAATGCAAGATTGAGAAAAATCTGATTACTCCATTATGAATTAAAGCCAAGGTATAGAAGTCTGAAGCTCTCAAATGGTTGGAAGCAGCCTCTGGAGAGCTTCCAAAAATCATTAATGAAGAAAGTGATTAAATGCACAATATAAAAATAGTCAAATTTACTATATTTATTTTCAGTCAAATTTACATGTAAATGTTTTTTTTGGTTCTGGCTCCAGCTATGACTTTTTAAAATGTAGGTCCTGTCATTCTGTTTGGCCCCAGCCCAGAAAAAGTGCATTTCCCCAAATCAGAGAGATCCCAGTAGTTAAGGAACAACTCAAAATAGAAATGAGAGCTAGACGTTGCTGAGACAGAAGCCAAGCAAAATAACTTTCAGTCCCATAAAGTAGCCTCCAGATTTTATTAGATTTACATTAACAGGACTTTCCAAACTATCTGAAAGTGCAGTTGTTTATTAATCAAGCATCATTTTTATTTAGATGACCTTTCACCAAGAACTTTAGAGATTGATTCTAAACAACCCTTTCACTAATAAATCCCACTTAATTTGGTGAGAACCTAGAAGTTGTTATCTATCATAACAAAATCAGAACTGTTTGATTATTCTCATGGATTTTATAAACATACTAATCCACCCTTTGGATTTATAATTGACAACGATGTCCTGCATACAACAGTGAACTATGACAGATGGTTAGCTATCAGCAAAACTTTCACATCACCTCATATTTCCTCAGGGTGGGAAGGTTTTCAGTGGGGTCATGTTCCACATTTAGTTGCCAGATAAAACCATGTGGGTACAGACATTACCAGAAACATATTAGAGATACTCAATAAAATGAGGGAGGAGCAGGAAAAGGTGAGGAACTGATTTAGGGGGAGTCAAGTTGCCTTAGAGGCCATTCATTAAGATTCACAATACGTTATTTTGATAAGAGGGCTCTTTCATCACCATCCTTTTTATCTAAACTTCTTTGGATAAAAACTTCTTTCCTGGATTTATGCACAACAATGAGCCACACATGCAAATTGAATTTATATCTCTTAAGAAGGCCTTTCATTTTACCTCTTTATTAAAGTTGCATTTATCAACTTTGCTCTTTCTGCCCAAACTCAATTGTCTCCTCTAAGTTTAGACTATCCCCATCATACTTTCATGGATTGATTTGGGGCTTGTAAAAGTAGAGTGGTGTGTTTCAGCCACCTTTCCCAGAAGAAGAATTCTATATATTTAAAAAATATTAAATTTTTAAAAATTAAGTTAAAATGGTACATTCAGAAGACATACGTAATAAATAGTAGCTCTGCAGATGATTTGGAATTAGACTGTCATCAACTCTAAGCTGTATATATCAGCAAGAAGGATTTTCAACACATAATCATTCAGAATATTTTGAAGCTGCCTATCCATGGAATAAATTTATGGTGAATTGTTTGATCAAGATCTGACTACAATTCACATATAATCCATTGACAGTTTTCTTTGGCTATACAGCATAAGGCCAAACATGCATATGGAGGAACACTTCATAGTCCTAAATATATTAAATGCCTTTCAATGAACATCCTAGTCAATTATGTTTTACAAAAGAAGTAGTAAAGCTACAAAGAATTAGTCTACCGCTAGGTCATGAATTGAAGGCGTATATAATTAAGAAAAGATATACACCACGGTAGTCTCCAATGCAATTCCCACTCACCAGAATCTGGATAGATTTCCTTTAGAGGGTATATAATCTAAATCAAATAAAACAGACACAAATTCCAAATGAGATACTTCGCAAACATAAAGGAGCCAGGGTTAAGCAGCAATTCCCCTCCCTTAAGGAACTTTTGATAAGTAAACCAAGTAGGGTTCCTAGAATTATGTATTGAGTATAAAGTAATTCTGGAGCATGCTGGAAATCTAACCACTCTGACAACCTGATACTAACATGACTCACCTGTTCCCGCAGTGTTCCATCTGTGAAGAAAGGACGCTGAGGTATGATCACTACTCCATGGGGGCCAAAGGAAGTCAGCATGTGGACTTCCCCTGCACAAATCCAGCAGAAAAAGTAAACCAAAAACAAAGCAATGATCCAACAGTTCCAACTGTAAAAATTCATGATCAAAAGATCTACCCTATTTACCCTGGTTGTACGACGGATCATCTTATGTATTTGCCTGGTTTTTTAATAGCTGCATGAAATGGATCTTTATTTTGTCACACTTGCCATGTGGCAATTTAAGAAGAGAATTTTTTAATATAGGATCTCTGGATGTACAATATTTCTGCTTCAGCTCACACAAACCATTGTAAACTTTCAATGTCAACTGGAAACCTATGGGTTTACCCAGGAATTTAACAAAACGTGTACTCTTGTGCTTTTCATTGCTCTGTTTGTTTTTGTTTTTAAGAAGTGAGAGACCTGTGGCTTCAAGCCTCTTTAATTTCTTCCCTTTTGAGATTATTGTGTTCATAATGAAGAATAAGCAAATTTTATAAATGAAATAAATCATGGTATTCTTTCAATACACAAACTCACAATGTTAATAATCTAAAACACATTAAGTAAGACAAAAGACCAAGTAGACCAAAAAGGAAAAACACAAGTCATCTACAACATATAGTATGAAGACTGTAACAGCCAGGACAGACAGGCAGAAGACTGAGTGCAATCATGAACTTCAACATCAGAAAACACAATGAAAACTTCCTAATCTTGCCACTCATGTACGGATTTAATAATAGTTTCAACTGGGAAACTGTGACGATCGTACACCAAGCTAAATCCAAACATACTAGGGAATTCCTGGAAGCTGTGGTATTCAGACAAATCAGCAATCACGACAGACACATAGATATAAAGTACATTTATATATCAATAAAAACAATAAAAAAACGTAAGGAGGAGACAACAAGACTAGAATACATCTTCTCCAGCAGCCTACACTCAGATAAGCAACAAGCAGAAAACAATACCCTAATCAAGGAACTATCAAGGAGACAATGACACCCCAATGACAAGTTATTGTATATAAACAGGGAGCAAACCACACACTCCCCAGCTCTGATAATATTACCTAGTTGGGTAAAGAAATGTCTGTAAGCAAACAACCAACATCAAAGAGCAGCAAGGACTCCATTGAATTCAGGATCTGGACAAGTTCTGAAAGGTCTTCCTAATTCAATGAAGTCTGCAATTTCTATAAACAACCTTTTCCAACATGGCACTCTTAAGTTGAGGAAGGGTGGGATTAAAACTACTATCAATGGCTACCCTCTGAACATTTGTAGCCTAACACCTCTGGATGGCATCAAATGTATATTTACATTTCTGAATAATCTAAATTCAACTTTTATTCCATTAGCTACGTTATGAAGGACCAACTTGCTGAAAGCTTTCTCAAAGGGCACCATTTCTGGGCACTCACCCTGTTTGCACTTCCATAGGCCTCCGAGAATACGCAACAAAGATGTCTTTCCTGTGCCTGTATTCCCAGTAATCAGGAGATTGTTTCCTTGTGTGACTTTCATGTTTAGGTCCTTGATAAGCAGGTTCTTGGAAGGAGCAGCAAGGGAAACATGCTCCAGAACAAAAGCGGTGTCTTTTGAAATCCTCTTCTCTTTAGAAATGCTGAAGATATCAAGCCCCCATAAAAAGAGAGGAAAGACATAAGGACTGATAGTATGTGCATGGTTCATAGAAAGAGAGCGCAGTCTATATATATTTTAGCACTTTAATGATAATAACTTGTGTAGCCCAAAACAAACAAGGACAGCCCCACTCCAAATATTTTGTTACAGAGACACTTCTCAACAGTCAGCAATTCTGGGCATCTGCTGTTGCTGCTAAAATGTGCAGAGCTTTTAAAACTTCTTGGTGTCGGAATTCATAAAACTTCTCATGTTCCCCCAACCCATTGAGAAGCCTGAGAAGTCTTTGGGAATTTAGAAGACCAGGGCCTGGCAGCCTCTTTATAAAGGTCAAAGTGTGCTGTCCTATCTCTTTTTCACTCCCTGTACTTCTTGTCCAAATCCTTCTCAGAACCAAGTGCTGCAGCTCTCAGATTCCACTTGGCATTGGTGTATATGTGTGTGCCCTGATTTATTTATTATTTTATATGTTTAAATTGCTCAATAGCTCAGTTTCTTTAGCTGGTTTACGATAAAACATTAAAAAAAATTACCATCTGAATGAAGACAGATACCGAATCAAACAGGGGTCTCCAAACTTGGCAACTTTAAGACTTGTGGATAGCTGGCTGGAGAATTCTGGGAGTTGAAGTCCACAAGTCTTAAAGTTGCCAAGTTTGGGGACTCCTGGAATAAAAGATCAAACAAAAACACCATATCTAGTAAATTAGGTCATTCAAAAAAGAAACAATATGAATTAAAATAAAGTGAATTGCTAGTCTGAAAAATAGAATGGATTTTACCTGGTGCTGAAATGATACCAGTATGGATAACAATCAAGTTTCTTAGGTGTGTGTATTGGGGGGGGGGGGGAATTCCACAAATGGAGTGCCATATCCCCTCTTTCTATTCTTACAAGAATTTCTATAGTTAAAAGAAAGGGGGATAGATAAAAAGGCTTCCCCCTCTCCATCACCACTAATTATCCACACATACCCCAAAATTTTATTTTTTGACCCAGAAACATGATTGGCAGCCACCTAGCATTTTTAGGCACCTGGCATGAAACAGATATCTCCGGCTTCTCAAATTCATAAAAAGAATCATGTAACAGGTGAAAGAAGCCTCAGCCTAATACTAGGTTCTTACAATCAGATCTGGTATACTGTAGCTTCTTACATCCCTCACTTTCTATATTACCTTTAGAATTTTCCAGAATTATTTCCCTGGCAAACCGTCACAGAAGGATAAACTGGAATATTCTTCCACAGGTATGACCAAGATATTTATCTATAATTTGTATGATAACCCAAATAACCAAGGAGCACCATGGATTAAAGCACCAAATTGCCATCCCATATCCTATAGCTGCCGTACATACCTGTCAAAGTCCCATTTGACTTGTGAGTCACTATGATTTTGCTTCTTTGAAAGGTTCAGCAATATTTCCTGCAACTCTCCAATTCTACAAAAGTCAGAGATTAGGGAAGGAGATGAAAGAAAAATGCTTACATTATACGATTTTCCCAAAGCAAATATTTGCAAAAATATTTGCTGAAAAGAGGAAGAGATCATATATGTTTAGAAATATTGGAGTGGTTAATCTTTGTAGAGTTCTAGGGTTCAACTGAAATGCTCTTCAAATTGAATGCCCTGTAGGCTAAGAGAAGTGCCAGTTGAAATGAACCACTGTAGAAGTTGAAAATACTCTGCTGAGGCTACCACTTCTATTAGAGCAGAGGTCCCCTTCTCCCAGTCCATGGACCAGCACCAGGCCATCCAAACAAGTGAAGACCCATCTGCGGGATGCGGGCATTATACAAAACCATGCCCCTCCAGTCCGTGGAAAAATCTCTTCACAGAACTGTCCCTGGTGCCCACAATGATGGGGGCTGCTAAATTAAATGGTCAGCATTTTAGGTCTCAAGAGAAAAAAAAAGAGGCTGCCTTGTTATTTTTTTCCCCTTTAAAAAGGCATCTTAGAAGAGATTCTATGACAGACCCGCTTTTGTGGCCTCAAAGTGAGAAGAGCGAAAGCCCTTCCTACCTCCATCTTTTTTATAGCCTATGTAGCAAAATCAGATATTTAAGCCACCCATTTCTTCTCTTCATTCTATTAAACTCTCATTGCAAAAGGAGATCTGGTTCTGTTCATGTTTGAAATGTGGCTCTCAAACCCTGGTGTAGTCCTTGAATTGACAAAAACCATAGACTTCTGGAGCAAATAGTGATGGGCTCTTTTGCCTTTCAGAGTTTTAGAGATTCAGAAGCTTCCATGCTATCTGAGTGCTTCCCAAACCCAGAGAATAAAATACCTGTGAGTGTAGCCAGCTACGTCGGACACTGTGGTAGAGAGATCAATTAGGACGCTGAAACAGTGAATCAAGTAAATTGAGACAAAGGCATTCTGCAAAGCAAAATCACATGAAAATAGAGTAAGGCCAAGATGGGAAACCGTCCACAAGAGAAAGGAAACTCTAACTAATTATCCTGATGCTAAGAAATTGTTCCTCGATAATTTCTGACTCTTCTGCTGCTCACATAATTTGTCACACACAAAAATAGAAAAATAGAAACACATTTTTCCATATATGGGTTGCCTTGAAAATCTTAAAACTCTCCTTCCTCTTCCAAAAATGTTTCATTACATAGTAAAGAATATAAACCCAATAATTTTTAGATTGATTTGTATCAAACAGGAATTTAGTTCTGGCAACTTGCCTTGAAAGAGTGATTTCAGTGATCCCTCCTTTTCAGAAAGAAGCACTCACCCCATGACAGGTGAAGCAATAAATATGCCAACTTGAATGTTTTTATGACAAGCCAGTTAGATCCTAACAGTCAGCAGTTGTGTAGAAACAAGTATCCTATGGCAGGAAAGACTGAGGCTTCTCTTTGGTTAATAAGCAATAATTTCTCTAACACAGGAGAACTGGATTCTCCCATCTAATACTTATTTTCATTTCTGTAAAACATTTTAAAATTCATGATATATAGACTGAAATAAATAGAATAGCCTCATAGAAGCTAGGGTTGATTAGCATTTCTCATTTCTTCTTGTGAAGTTAGAAACAGAGTATTTTGAAAATATTTTGACTTTCAAAGAAAAAGAGAAAAACAGCAGCATTAGGGAAAAATAATTATATGTTAATGCTCTGGGATGTTCTTGCAGAACCTGATATAAGTTGCAAAGTTCAGCAACCTGGGTATCTCAACTTTTCACATCCTTCTAAAAGTAGATGAAGTTCCTAGCCCTCATGCAGGAGACAGAGTCAAAACATACGAGCATGACGTAGTGAAATCCCAGAGGAGATATTGAATAGATTAATAGCATCAACAATTTCAGTTGTAGGACTTGTATTTATATACTGCTTAAGTGTCGTCAAATTGATGTCAACTCTTAGCAACCACACAGACTTTCTTCAGGATGATCTGTCCCCTTCAGGTCTTCCAACAGTGCACCCAATGTTGTTGCAATCTATTTCATCCACCTGCCAGTTGTCAGCTTCTTTCTTTCACTTTCTTTCACTTTCTTTAACATTATGAGCTTCTCAAAGAAGCTGGGTCTTTGCGTTAGATCCAAAATAAGATAGTGAGTTGTTTTCTTTTTCTCTGGTAAACTGGATTTCTTGAAGATGTTGTTGATGATCCTGTGAGTGTTCTCTAATTGGACCTTTTTTTTATTAGGGTGAATATCTCCCCACCAACAATCGGCACCCAGATGAGCAGAGATTAACTCCAAGATTAACATCAGATCAACAATCAAGTAAACAGTATCCCAATCAAAAAAGTACCAAACAAGCCAACAAATAAATAGCCCAACCAAAGAACTTCAAAGACCACCCAGGGCAAGAAATAGAATATAAACTGAGAGCAAGCCTTTAATTAACATAAAAACAGGATCTTTCACCCCAAATAATCTGCAAAAACTCACCTTGCTAACTAAGGAGCTCAATTCTGTGGGATTCAGATCATCATATACTCCATTAAATATAGGAATGGCAATCATCACGTAGCTCAAGATGCTGCCCAAATAATCAAAGGTGTTGATCCCAACTGAACAAAAACATATCAGCATGATATAGTCAATAGAAGGGAGCTTTTGAACAGTATTTAGTTCTTGCCATACTGGCTCAAGTGCAGAAAGATACAATATTTTTTTCATATGGGCACAACGTTTATTGGAGAGCACTACATTTAGACACTCATCACCTGCACTTTAGCTGAAATTAGATTAAACATGATATTTATATTTGCAAAGTAGGGAACGTTTCTATATCAACAAGATTGCTTTAGCAGTGTGGGCCAGAGCAAATATTTTTGATTCAATGTCATTCTTACAATGTATGTCTCCAGTCCTTACCGTGCTTTTTAAATAGCATGTTGTATGTTGCATAAATCATGCAGCCGATTTGCAGTTATTCAAGAAAAGAAATTACTCGGGGGTGTATAATCAAAGGCTAATTAATTAGACTTGGATAAGGAAGCCTATGAATACAGTTTGACCCACTTATAGCCATGATCATATATATGTGTGTATGTGTTTGACATTGTGCTTGTTTTAGCCTGGAAAAAAATATACCTTATCCAAACTAGATTCTGATATTTAGGAAAATACATATCAACAATACAGATACATGTGTCCATTATTCTGAATAGCAAAACACTGGGAATGTCCTTTTAATAGAAACAGAAAATTCCATTAAAATCCAAGTGTTGATTACTTTGTTCAAAACGTTACAGCTGTATCTTGCTTTAACACTCATCCTAAAGACTGTCACCTTTCAAGTACAGAATCCAAATATCTCCACTTGCATATAGACAGCCATGGAATTCATCTTCTGTTTCAGAGTTAGCTGATGACTACTTTACTGTTTGAAACACTGTATTTTGTTCTCAAAATATTCCCCACATGAACAATTTAAAATGAAACTACTTTAATCAATGTACAAGTTAAGATGATAAAATGCTTCTCCTTACTGTATAGCCATAGTTCCTTTCCCATCAGTTCCCTCTGCGTCTTTAAAAGATTTTGAAGCTTGTAGTTGGTTCGCATGTGTTCAACTTCCCCAGCTCTGCAAAACAACAAAACAAAAGGACATGACTGACCAGGTATAATGGTCCTTTCTGCAAACATATAGTCTTATGGGCCAGGAAACCAATGTAGCATTAGCAAAAATATAGGCAATTCTCCATATATTTTAATGAACTGAGTTCATAAAACCTATTAAATCTGCGGTTTAGCAATTTTAATATATATGGACTTAGAATTCCCCCAGCATGCAAGCAACACCATAGTTAAAAAAACAGAAAAAGGAGCCCTGTTTGCTGCTGTAATTCATGGTATCACTAAACTACTTCAGTTTCAGCTTTCCATCGACCCAGGGAGCATTTATACTCAAACCACATTGAACCAATGCCACTAGTGACCTCATGTGGCAAAAAGCAGAAAGCCAGATGGCCCATGTCTGTTCCTCCTATTTTGATCTGCGCCCTTTTCCTTGTTCTTCCACCAAAATGTCTCTCTAATGTAATTTACACATACTTCTTATGCAGAACGACTTTTTGCTTTCAAAATTTCTATCTGCCATACGAGTTGAGTAATTGAAAAGAACAGTACTGAATACAGACAGGAAAAAACCTTGATTCTCTATTGGGTCCTGATCTTCCTTACTTCTGACTTAATTTCCTGTGATGCAAGAGGAGACATATAAAATTTGTTTCTGCGCTTTAAGGAAAAAATTCAAAACCAATGACTGAGAGCACCGCACATTTTCTATACACATACTACATAAGAGAGCCTCGTTCACAAAGCCTCAGCATGATTAGCTCACCGCAAATCTTTTGTCACTGAATTTTGAAAGGATAATACTTGGACTGAATATATTTACAAAACTGCCCATGATTAGAAATCCTAATAAGTGAAGACAGGGAACTGATAACTACCAAATGAATGAAAAGAAAGTTCAACAGATTTGTTAAAAATTGTTTGAAAGTTATTGACATATAACCTGGTCACTCATGGTTGGATGAAATTGATCTGAGCCTCAAAAAGAAAGATGACACATTTATGAAGTAGAATTCATTTATGGTAGAAGCAAGGATGGAAAGATATAAAAAGATATGTAGTAGGTATCAACTAATTTTAGGTGTATTTTCCCTTTCCTTATCAGGAAAGGAAAGGAAAGTTCCTTATCGGGGAAAGGAAATAGTAAATCTTAATTTCCTATTTTTTATCCTCTTCCTGCATTCAGTACAATCCTGCTCACCCAAAAAAGAATACAGTAATGGTTATCTATGTATAACTTAAGAAAAGGGAGCTTAAATTTGAAAAAAGGGGAGAAAATAATTCAACAGCATGAAGAGGGTTTGGGCTAAAATAACAATTCATGAAATTCCATTTACTGTATATGAAATATGTATTATCCATAAAAATTGAATTTACAATTTTCTTGCTTCTGAAGACTGAAAGGAGATACTAAAAAGAAAGGAAAGTATCTTACCTATAGAAAGCAACGGATTCAGCATTCACCCGCAGCTGCATATGCTTAAATCTGTTGGAAAGAAGGAAAATATTTTCTACAGTGAGTGACAATTTCTAGAGATGAAACAACCAGAATTTTAGAAAAGCCCCCTTCATAATTATCATGTACATACAACATAATGATACAGATCCTTTCAGGACATGAATAGGTACAAGGATTGTGCAGCATCTTAGCAAGAGGCATGAAAAAATAATAATAAAATCTCTGACCCCTCTCTTCTACTTCTTAGCCACTTGAATTGGCACCTCACCTCCAAATAGTTTTATTTCAAGAATTTTTCAAGATATCACAACTAAGTTGATGTATTAATATATTTGCAAACAGCACCACATGTCATTTTAGATGTGAACCAATTAATAAGATCTGCTCAATACATTCACCTGAAATCACCTTCAAGCTTTTCCTGCTGCACCAGTTTTGAAATAATGGGACTCATTAGGAACTTGTTAACAATTGTCCCAATGATAAAATAGCCAAAGATGCTTAGAGGACCCAGCCAGCCAGTGCTAAGAGAGAGAAATTCAGAGAGGTTAGCAAATCTATTGGTAGGAGGGTTGCTTTGAAACATTGTAAATGTGCAGCACTTATTAGTGTCATAGCTGTTACACTAACCATATACAAGTGGTCCTCAGTTAATGATTATTTGTTCAATGACTATTCAAACTTGTAAAAGTCCTGAACAAGTGGTAATTACCTCCTGTCCTCAAAGTTCTGGCTATCACAGCATTCTGTGGTCTCATGTTCAGGATCCTAGTACTTGGTCACCAGTTTAGTTTTCCAATCATCGCAGTTAATTGCAATTTGCAACATTCCCCACCAGTTTCCTCAACAAAGTTCATGGGAAAGAATGCAGGAAATTGGAAGTTGCAATCACATGAAGTCCTCATTTAATGATTTCAGTTTGCTTAAAGATAAAGAGGGACTACCAGAACTGCTTGTTGCTAAGCAGTGCAATCACGTGACATCAAAATTTATGACTGCATAATAAATTTATGACAGCAAAGGAAATTCGGGTCCCAATTATCTTTGTTAAGTGAGGATTACCTTTAATCAAAGAGCATTACAAATACTGTAGTGACTGTCCAAATGAATTACAATTCATAGCCACCATGGTCATTGAAGAGAAACTAAGTGTTCAGCAACAATAGTCTCCCTAACATCAATATATAACAGAGCATATGCTGCCCCCATCCCACCACCCATTTTAAACTAGGAAAATTCTTGATGAATTCAATATATTATGACATGGAATCTGTGGCCAGACAACTTGAAGCAGAGTTAGTTACCTGCAACACTCCCTGCCTTATAACTTAACTGAGATTTGCTAATGGTAATTCTCCTTTCAAAGGTAGTAGAAGGTGGATCTTGAGCTGGAAATATTAAATAAATTAAATGCCATTAAGTGAAGTTGAACTGTTAACTCTATGGAGTTCTACCAAACTGAGACTCTCCAAATATACAACTGTATTATTTTGCAAACTTTCTATTCTTTTCTCACCCCATTTGCTCAAAAGAAGCAAATGGTGATCAGAATATTTTTGTACCTGGTGCTGAAAATTCATTAAAGCTACTTTTCTCCATGGCATTAAAAATACAATAAGATTAAATAAAATAGCACTTTAGTGACTTTTCATAGCATCCAATAAATCTAAGGTGTGAAGAATTGTAATGTCACCTGAACCTGTGAGAAGCTTAGCCAAATTCATCCCTTTCAACTGTATTCAGAAACTCTGCAACACTTGAGCCCTATTGCAATATGGTTTCAGCTATCCAAGATGGGTGGCTATCTGGGATAAGTGGATGTTGACAAATGCTCTTTGCAAGGCATTTGCATAATTACCAATTAATTTTGATGCTCACTTTGTCCCTAAACTAGAAGCACCAAGTGAGAGCTTTCATTCCACTCTTTCTCATTCTTTTCTAATCCTGCCATTTGATTCACTGAAAAATTGTTGGAAAAAAGCACAGAGAACCAAGAACATCATAAACACATCAGTCTTGGAAACCATGTAAGCCTTTTACATTGACAAGACGCATACCATACTTGCTCTTTCCAGTCCTTCCCCTTTCCTCCCACACAATCTTTGTTTCCCATGTATAAAAGCCAAACTGTTTACACAGTTCTTAAATCTATCCTTCCCATATAATTTGTACTTGTAAAACTCCTTATCTACCAGATCAACCTATTCCACTAGATAGTCTCCAACTGTATCTTGTAATCATCTTCCTTGATTTCCCTTTCCTTGTAACCCTGATAGATACAAGGCCACAAAACTCTACTGGAAAAGGTTGGTCTGGTAAATAAAGAGTTAAAGGTAAGAGCCATGTTGGTGCAGTGGTTAGAATGCAGTATTGCAGGCTATTTCTGCTAACTGCCAGGAGTTTGATCCTGACCAGCACAAGGTTGACTCATTCTTCTGAGGTCAGTAAAATGAGGACCCAGATTGTTGGAGGCAATATACTGACTCTGTAAACTGCTTAGGGGGCTGTAAAGTACTGTGAAGTGGTATATAAGTCTAAGTGCTATTGTTATTTTTTCCTGAGATCCCAGTGTTCTGTCCAGATGTGTAACCAACAATTTCCAACCAGCACAGCCCCTTTATCAGAGTTTAAATCTCCTCATTTCAAGGACATGCAAACTGGGAGGGATTATTTAGTTTTAGAGCATTTTCATCCCCTCCATGCTACTATTACTAGGTGAGTGGACAATATTATAGCCTATTTGAACATGTCCAGTTTGATTTACAAGCCAATCCCAACACATTGTAATCTTCGCCTTGCTTTTCTTTGTTTTGTCCTGACCAAATGAAGATTGCAATGGTTTTCAGGTGCAATCTATCACTGTTGAATGACTGTGAACTGTAAGCTGGTGTGCAGGGCCCATATATCTGTAATGAACCAGAGGAGAAACACATTTGAATGCCTGTTTCAATCAAGGAGGGAAAAGGGAAGAAAAGGTAGTTTCCTGAGGTTGCAGGACAGGCACAAGATTGTGGGTGAACTTGTTTGTTTGCTTTGCTGCTCGCAACAAGCCAATCCTGGACTGCCATCACTATCATACAATTATTGGGGAGGTGGGGGGGTTATCCAGTAGGTAGTGCACGGAAAAATCCCTACGTGACAGGACTCACTGCAAGCAGGCTCTTCATGATAGGAATCACTTTCCTACCTGTAAAAACATTGATAGGTGTAATAAGCAAGGGTGAAGGGTGAGATGATCAGTTTACTGGCCATAGAGCTCAACTGTTTGCAGAATCTCTCCACATCTTGACTGATTCTCTGGTCTCTAAACAATTGTGCAATAAAGAGAGATGTTACCTTGACACATACCACCCTGACAAGAACAGAAAGGGAGAAAAGTTAATGTGTTATGAACAAAATGAGTCATTCACTAGTCCAGTGAATAGTGAATAAACATTTGCACCAAGCAAACCACGAGAGGTAGTCCTCAATTTACAGCTATTTGATTAGTGACCATTTGCAGTTACAATGGCGTTGAAAAAAAGTGACTTATGATCACTTTTCACATATACAACAATTGTGGCTATTACTACTTTGATTTAGCAATGGAAATTTTGGGTTCAATTATAGTCATAGGCTGAGGACTATCTGGAATGGCATCAACTGTCCCATCATAGATGTTTATGTGGTAGGATCAAATATTGCAAAAAACACAAGTTTTTTTCTGATTTGGTTTGTTCTGTAAGAATTCAGCCATCGTCGTTTGCAATTGTTGAATACACAAAAATAGATAAAACCTTTTAAGAATGTAGAACAAATAAGTTCTAAAATCTAACCAATTTATTGCAGTTAGCATTACTTTTTAGGAAGTGAAACAAAGATCTGCGTAGTTTCATAGTTTCATTTGTACTGTTTTAGAAATGCATCCACAGCAATATTAGATTTGGAATGATAAACCAGTGATGGATTTTCACAACAAACTCTTCTTACATACTTGCTGTTATAAATATCATAGTTGTTTTTAAAAAACAACAATTAACTAAAGGAACATTTATATGAATGGTACACTAGTATAATTAAAAAGATTATGCTATTCTCTTAAGATTTTTCAACAGCCTCCCATTTTTTACTATTATAAATATTTTCAATTCTTTTTCAAAAAAACCCACAATGTTTTAAACAATATTTTTTTTGCTGAGTCCTGAGCTATATTCTCTTCTACTGAAAAAGTAATATTCTCTTAACTAAGAGAAAATTTATTGACTGATAAACCTGGTTTAGCTATGTCAAATAAAGCCCTGGTATATTTGTAGAATCCCCTTTGTGACCTATTAATGATGTTTTTTAGATGTCATTCACAACATTACCTAACTATATGATTGGTTGTTCTTTGCTATCCAATTCTAATATTATGGAGAAAGTCTTGTTTCTCAAACTATGTGTTCAGCTAGATTTATGCCCATTTATCTGCGATGAAACATACTTCTGACTAGACATGCCTTAGATTAAAATAGTAATATACAACAACAGTTTCTCTTTTAAGTTATATATCAATATTATCAATTCTCTTAATTTATGGGTCCAATTAAAACTAGTAATGACCACTTATGTTCCCACAGCATTCCCGTGGCCCTGCTTTCCAAACTCACTTCACTTGGCTGTTCTTTTCATCCTGAGGGGGCCTGCTGAAAATCACTTTCCCTGGTAGGGCTCAGGGGACTGGACGTACTATGGCTTCCCTGTAGGTTCAGACAGTTCTTTCCCTTCTTCTATTCTAGAAGATCATTAAGAACTTCCTATTCCATCAGGTTTTGAATTGATTGGTAATGGGTATTTATCTGTATATATGTTTTTATATTTTGTGACCTGTAAGAATGTAAAATGTTTTTGTTATATTATTTTTTTTCTCAGATTTTTCTTTGTTGTACACCACACAGAACAAAGTGAGGGAACATTAATAAATAAGGTAAATAAATGAATGCCAGAGAACAAACCCATTCTGTAATCTCGCTTAATGACTACAACAAATAACAACTAACAACAGTTAATTGGAATTTTGGTCATAAGTTGAAAAATACCTGTATTTATCAAGGAGTATGATGGGGCTACTTGGAGAGGCAGTCTTGGAAATAAAAGATTATGCCGGTAAGTTTTACATAGAATATAAAGAACGTACAAGCTTCCCATTTTTAAAAATTAAAAGAAAAATGAAAAAGGGAGATCTGCAGAGACCCTGCTGGTAATAGGTGTGCTGGTACTGGTACTTCTGGGCGTCAGGTTGGAGACTATGCTAATCTGTGTTAATATTTGAGGTGCATAAGACTTTTTATTTTATTTAATGTTACATATTTTTAAAACCAGAAACCTAGTTTGACACAGAATGCTTTAATTCTGAATGCAGCTACCTCAATGTTATTATACTTATTATAGAGTAGCTCAAACATTCTATCAAGGAAGTACATCAATTTGACTGGTGCATTTTAGATTGAAATATACTGTAGTACAGTAATACATTAACCCCTAGCGGGTGATAGAATAAAAATTAAATGAACTCCCTGTGACTATGAATAAGTGTCCATGGATACTGAGATGACAAAAAATATGAACATAGAAGCCAGACCGGGAATAAAGTCTAGAGGCACAAACATCAATAACAATAGCTAGAATGGCACTGAAAATGATTAGCCACTTACGGATTATCAATTTCCTCATGTAGAACATTCAGAGTATAATACTCTTGGCCCTGAAAATAGTAGCCATGGAGGTATTCAGTGAGACTCTTTCTCCAGCTGACATACATCAGATTGCAGATAAACTGGTCTAAACTCTTCAGCTGACAAGAGAGATACAAAGAGAGAGAGCACTGAAGATCAAACATGAGGAGATACAACATTTAAAAGGAACTGTTTGGAAGTCGGGTGAGCAAATAGCCACATTTTCTGAAGCAGACTGAAATATTCTTTTTATTCTGATCCAATGGACGGTTGGGAAGAAATTATGTAAAAGAGTTGGGACCCGATTTGCCTGTTTGTTAGCATACTTTAAAAACTGAACAGACAGGACCAAATTTGGGATACAGAAAGAAACCTGTAAAAGAAAAATCAGGTTTTAAAAAATGGACATATAAAGCCAAGTTGTGGAGAAAAACTATCCAGAAAAATCTCCCACTGGATATCTGTGAAGAGAAGCAGGTGGACACAGCTCCTCCTAAGCCCCAGAAACCATATAATAGACAGCATATACGACCATCTCATGATTTCTGCTGCATGCATAGACACACATGTAAGGCCCTGGCTAGTAAAGTGTAGGAAAAATATTAGAAGCCATGCGATGTATATTTTACTTCCCTTGTTTTAGAAGCCAGTTACAGCTTTAAGCAACTCCAGCCTTAGTAATTTTTCTGAGTAATTTAAAAACAAAATACAAACGTACACTTTGGGACTCTACAATTCTTTCCAAAAGTTGTGGGAAAAGTCTTCGAACCTTGAGTTAGGCTAAAATGGATTTGAACATTCTTTTTATCTTGGACAAAGGACTAACAGCATTAGGAATATTCTTTAATTCCTGAATGCATATGCAACTGATTCTTTTGGTCAACTTGCAACATGTCAGATTTAATCCGATTCATATTATAGAACAAATGCAGCCAAGCAACTTTTTTTGTATATTTCTGTCTAATTTATATAAGGAGTAACATAAACCTGAAAGCAACACATCCCAATTTGGGTCTGTACATATCTATGTCTACACCTATTCAGGCACACTAGTCTCATTCTCTTCCCTTTTTGGTAGATTGGCCCCTGCAGTATAACATATTAGAGTGCAGAGCTGAGATATTTTTTTCAAAACAAATATTTATACCAGTTTGCATGCCACTAACATCATACTTACAATTCATGTTATCTTTGATCATAGATATGTACCTTTAACACATCATTCAAGCGATGCAACAGTATAAAATATATGTGCCATATATGACAGATCACAACACCAAAGACTGACAATCATGGGAGGTGTTCTGAGTTATGCTCAAGGCAACTGATTTGCAATTATGTATGTTGCTCATACAGATCATTTTTCATTATAGTTAGTGGTCTAGATTAAGTAGATATTAATATGGAGAAATGATTTGTACTGATCTTTCATCTATCAACATATTGAAATAATTGACTGCATTATGCTGTTTGAGATTTAGGATGAACACTTGTAGAGTAAGCCTACATGAGAAGGAAGATGCAAAGGACCTGACTAAGGATACATAAAGCCTATATTTCTCTGCTGCTCTCTAGTGGTCATCTGGCTTTCTGCAGCCTATGTATATGTATGTTCTAGTTTGGGTTTTTTATTTTATTAAATTTTATTATTTTACTAGCTCTATATCCATGCTTTGCTATGAAACTATGTAAGTTTAGTTTTTGGGGAGGAAAATAAGGGGGAAAATTGTGTGCCTCTGCCTACCAGCATCCATCGGTATTAATCTGGCTAGTGTCCTGTCACTGTGTCAGAGAGTTGACGGTTGTTTGGAAACTGAAACATAGAAACTGAAACAGTATTTGCTGTGTGAGCAAGGAGACAGCAAGGAGCCTGGGCATGGGTTAGCTCAACTGTTCTGTACTAAAGCTGCTTGGTGCTGTAGAAACTAAAACTGAAACTCCTCTCCTCTGCTTGTATTTTGCATTTGGAACAGATTTATTTTCAGGTGGGGAGGGGGAGTAGAACTCCTTAGCATCAGAGCATGTTAATAATAATATAGGAAATATTAATGCTCTAATGGTCATTTTGAAAAATCCTTTCTTAGTGAGCATCTAGAAGCCAACAGGAACATACGTGCCAAATTTCAAGTTTGTAGGCTTTACAGTTCTGGAGATGTTGTGATGATGTGTGACTGGTATTTTGCTTTTATATATATATAGATAGATAAATGAAATTAACAGACCCTCCACCCCAATATCAACGATAATAAAAAAAAATAGTAAACTTCAAAGAAGCAAAAGCAGATCCAGGTAATATCTCAATGAAAAATAATTATACCAAGCTGCATTTTTATCATGTCACTGAATTTAGATTATATAAAAGAGTAATGCTCCATTTTCTCATTCCTGCAATATATAGACATTTCAAAGATTGCCAGAATGCCCATGTCTTGAAACCATTCTTTAACTTCTAAAATAACACTTTATTTGTGTATTCCAATTGTGTTCCCAACCTTTCCCTCCCCTCATAAGAAAAAAAATTATCTCACCAAAGAGTTGAGTATAATGAGAATCAGAGCAACTGCTGTCATCTTATTGAACTCATAAAGATCTTTCTTTCCCAGAACTGAGAAATATTGACTGGGAATCAGTCCCACCTGGTAAATGATCAGTTGAGCTAGGACAGACAGGAGAAATATTTTTAAAACCATAAGCTCCAAAGGTGTATCAGTAAAAAGAGAGACTAATCCTGCATCATGGCAAAAAGAAACATACAAAATTATTTGTCTTAGAAAATTGTTTGCTTACTCAACAAAGCAACTACAAGCAAGGTTAGAAACATCAGCACATTCTTAGAAGTGAAGGTAGGAAATAATATTGTTTGGATCTTTAGGAATCGATGGAGGAATTGGCGATCCAGCTGGGGCCTAGAAGAAAGATAAAAAGACAAGAAAAGTTATAAAGCTGAACTGCTAACATGGAAATGTCACTGCTAAACCCTCCATTCCACTCAGTGCATGTTTAAACCGATTGAAATTTTTTTAAAAAAAGTCTCACTAGAACAATAATAGAAGGGTCCCAGATATCTGGGCAAATGTAAGCCCCCTGGGACTAATGTCTAAATTTTACGTCAACCCTGGGCACAGAATATGTAGAATAGCTGCACTTTTGTTTCAGATGTACATTATGTAGAACTGCATCCCCTCAACCTTTTTGGGGACCAGGGACCAGTTCTGTGGGAGAAAGTGTTTTCTGTGGACCAGAAGGGGCATGGTTTCACATGTTGCTTGCATCTCATGGATGGGGCTTCACTTGTTTGCACGGCCTGGTTTCTGGTATGGCGCGGCCCAGTGCCATTGGTGACCCCGATATAGCACACTGTCAGCAATATGGCAGATCGAATCCCACCAGGCTCAAGATTGACTCAGCCTTCCATCCTTCCAAGGTCGGTAAAATGAGGACCCAGATTGTTGGGGGCAATATGCTTACTCTGTAAACCACTTAGAGAGGGCTGTAAAGCACTGTGAAGCGATATATAAGTCTAAGTTATTTCAAGTGGTGGTGGTCACTGTCTATCCCACATTGTTCTATCTTGCCAAGAAGTAGGCTGTGAACTACTTTTTCAAATGCCTTGATTTAGTCCAAGTAAACCATATCATCAGGATTTCCCTCATGCACTCACTTTATCAAAAAAGGCAACATAAAGTTTGAAAAACACTGAATTGTATGAATAGGCAGCATGTAAAAAGTTATACATACCTATCACAACATCCCCTTTTGAGGTATGCAGTTATATGAAACTCAGAAAAAGAGTACAGTGTTTCTTAAGGCTAACCTTAAACTTATTATTTTCTTTGCTCTTTTTGAACTGTAGTGTCTACTATTGAAATCCACCATTGCCTCTTACCCCACCCCACCCTTCTCGGCCCTGGAATCCTAACAACAGGCGTCTCGGTTCATAAAGAACTCCAACACAGTGGCTCCCTTTTCCGTACTCGATTGTGGACAATTTAAAGCACTTACCGGACAGTTTTCCTAGCTGTTTTCCCTGGAGCCATGAACGAACTGCCCTTCCTTGCAAAAAGAAAGAAAGAAAAAGAAAAAGGGCTTCCCAGTGTCCACTCGGGATCGCGCTATAGAGGAAGACTTGTAAGTCTTTCAAGGCTTCGATTCTAGTCCCACCCCATCCAGGGATTTTGATGAGGATTCATTATTTCTTTGGACTGTTCATTAGCAAGTCAGAAATAGCGATTATAGTGGTGTCATCACTGAAAAAACGAGTTGTGAGCACACCGTTACTAAGAGCTACAGAAAAAGACGGCCGAGATGGCCAAATACCCATATCCGAGTTATTTTAGTGGGAATAACCAAAGAACTAGAGGACAGCATTCGCCCAACTCTCATTTTCGGTCTGTATCGCTAAAGTAATGTTTTACGACCGTCTTCATGGATTTAATATATACTTCCGGTCCCGCATTACAGTTCAAGTCCTTCGAGGGTTGAAGAGTGGTGGAAATGCTTGAGTTAGCATTGCTTGAATGACGAAAGGCGTGCCCTGAAGTGTAGTCTCCAAAAACCTATGTATAAACACAAATGCTTTAGTCTTTTTTTTTTCTCCTTTACTGCAACAGATTAGCAATTGCTTCCTGTGAAAATTTGCCTTAGGAAAAACTAGAAGCGAGCTTCCAAAATAAATGTAAATTAACGAACAAAGTTGCTTTTAACTTCGTGATTTTATTCTCCTTTTCCGCACGAATAGATTATGACAAAACGTCCTTAACTCCATTAACCGAAATAAACGAAGAAGCACATTTCTGCAGCAGCGTCTTTGTGTGTGTTGTGTGTGTGTGTGTGTGGGGGGGGGATAAAGACCAAACTACTAAAGCGTTGGAGCCCAGATTTTCAAAAAATAATGTGTTCTTTCACCAAGTTTTATGCATTTCTACCTCTCTTGCCCCTCAAATGGAAGATATTTCCCATCCTAAAGGGAACCGGAAATGAGGCTCTTGCAAGTCTTACATAGGTCTGTTTTCAGAGAAGAGGAAAACAGAGCTCCTTCTACCGGACTAGTTGTGTAAGGATAGTGTAAAATGCAAAGTCCAAGATCCAAACTTTTTCATTTATTTTGTAGACATTTAACAGTCTCACGTTTTCTTACATAAGAGCTTAATATTTAATAACCCTGTTGAATAAGATTAAAGCCCCGTTCTATGGCTCTTAGTGACCAGTGGGCAATTCTCGCTTTCATAGATATAATAACATGGTAGAGTCAGATGAGTAGAAGTTAAATAGCTTTAACTTATGACAGTTTGATGGTCTGGTGTCTTATTAGCTTGTTAATAAATAATTAGAGGTTTTTGTAATCTATGAATTAACGTTAGCCAAATTTATAAGTTGTGTCTTTACCTGATAGAAATGACACTTTAACACCTGGAAGGGGAAGAGGGGGAGCTAGAATGGTTGACTACAAACACTTCACAGACTGACCACAAACATTTCTTATATAGCCTAGCTAACAGGTTGTGGCTTTGACACTTGGTTCTAGGATATCTTGAGCCATCAAGGAAGGTGACACGATATTTAGCTGAAGCAGAAGTTAGGAGTGTCCATACAAGGGTCTTAAGAGGTAAGCAAAGTTCATCATTAGTGTAGAGAAAAACACAGGTTTAAATGATAATGAAGCAAAATTAAATAATGAAGTATTATGGGACGGCTTTGCGTGCATGTGTAACTATCATGTAGCTTTGTAACTAATTAGCAATTTTTTTATTTCTTGTAATTGTATAAAAATAACTGTGCCTGATTCTGGTGCTCTCCTTGAGTATGAAAGCCAGAGGCATCCTTTTCTGTAGAGTTTTGTCTTTCCTTGATCCTGTATACACATTGGTTTTTCGCACTGAGTACAGGAACTAGGTTTTCTGGTGAACAATAGCAGCTTCTGTTTAAGCTATTTAAACCAGTGACTCTAGAGGTAGCACTCTAAATAGCTATTAGTGCTATAGAAGCCACTCTGAAATAAAATGGGCTAATATTTTGTTGAAAGAAATATCCTTCTGGGTTCAGTTCCAAGTGGGGAAAAAGACACTGGAAACATGGAAGCAGCTTGGAAAGATGGTTTATTGATGGACAGGGTAGGTTCCTGGGCAGAAAAGGGAAGAGATGCTGAGAGTACCTGGGTTTTATGCCCTCTGCTGGGCTTTGAATTTGAGCTTGTGTTCTGATTGGTTGTCAGACTCCCATAAAGCCATGCGGGGTAACTTTGTAGGTTGTCTTTTGAGTCCCAGGCTTGGTTGATTCTTGCTGGGTGATGATGTAATGAAAGGGCTTTTGGAAATTCCTATTATGGCTCTGCTTTAAGGAGGTAGATCTTTGTTATATAGAATAGATTGGCCCAGGCCTTAATGGCCTATTAACAAAGGTGGGCGGGCTGAGTTTCTGCTTCTCTGAGTTTCTACTTCTCTTTTAGGGGAAATATTCTGCCTTTTTAGTATATCCTAAAATATTTCATTTTCCTAGGAGAGGTGGGTTTTAACTTCCAAAAATTTCATATTAGAAGAGCATAATTTGCCAGGAATCAGTAACCTTATTTACGAACTTTCTAGTATTATGCCTTCAATAACCTCCCAGCAGGTAAGAATCATGTGGAACAAGTTGCAAAATCAAATAACTAACAAGTTATATAGAACTAGAAGGTCCCATAAAATTCAAAACTTTCATGGAAATTCTGCCCCATTATTTGCTTCAGACAAAAATCTGTTTCAGAAATGGGCCTGAATTTTTTAAAAAAACTTCATGAATCACACAGGAGAACTGGAGAGCTTTAAAATATACATTCTCCAATTCTCCATTCACCATTTATTAGCTTTATTGGCCAGTCATATTATCATAGGGTAATTTAAAATGTTAAAAAGATAAACCTATATAAATAAACTACTACAAAAATACAACCCTAGCTAAAAGATGGAGAGGGAAGGAATAAGATAAGCAGGGTGGAGGTAGGATCTGTTATTAATCACCCCCAATGTGAGACTCCTCCTTTGGAGCCCCAAACCAACTGGAAGATCTGGGTTTTTAAGCTTTTGCGGAAGGTCAGGAGGGTTGGAGCCTGAGGTGGTATTCAGCAGAATATGATTGATAAATACTCTCCATCCATTTAGACTCTAAAGATGTATTAACACATCTGGAGCAAGACGTGTGAAAGATTGTACTTCAGAGTTACAAAAGGTGCAGCCTACCAGCAACATTTCTATGATCACTAGAATGGAACAAATTTGGTTTGTTTGTTTTTGGCTTGTTTTAAACTTTGTTTTGAGCTCTGGAGGTAATTCAGCTTCTTAAAATTCCCCAAACTGTCTAAAACTGGGTTCTGCCTCAGACCCTTTTAAAGTATGGTTGCCAATATAACATGAAAAACCTTCAGCACAGCCAAACAAATGTAAGTTACTCATGTCTGATCTTGTAAATAATAACTAGCACACTTTTAATAAATTAGATATATTTGTCTTGATCTGAATTGCAGATAATTCTAAAACAGTAAGGCTAGACCAAAAATCTAACCTTTATAGCCCTACACAATTCCTGTAGTCATTAAATTTTACCTCAAATTTGCTTATATTTTTAGCTGCCATTCCCTATTTTTTGTGAGAGATGAGAATACCATAACAAAATTAGCTTGGGGACAGGTTTTTTATAGACAATATCTGTTTTTAAGTGTTCAGTAAGAAATGACAATAACTTAATTGATAAAAATAACTATTCAGTACAGACAAGTATCCACATTTAGTGTTTAATTATTCTTCAATAATTTTTCTAAAATTGATTTATATAATTAACACATTTATTTATTTATAACATTGCATGGTTCCCACAAAAATGTTCAAAATAATTAATTTTCTTGTCTTAACAAAAAACTTAAGGATGGGTGTAGCCCCTCCAACTTTAGCACAGCCTCCTAAGACCCCAAAACATTGCAAGTCTTGGTAAGCTGAGCTTGGGTTCTGTTCCTGCTCCAGAGGAAATGCCACATTGTTTTGGTGTGTCTCTTTTGAAGCAACAAGCAGCATGTCCCCTACAGTATTCTTGGGAACACCTGCTTCCTCCAGGATCCTAGGAATTATCTCTCCTGCCACATAGCAGGGGACTGCAAAGCTTCACCATTACATTTCCCGCTTCCCTTCATAGTTGCATCCAAGCGTGACTTTGCTATTTCTCCTACATAAACACTTGTAGTGTGTTATGTTTTTCCCCCTCATTCTGAAAAGAAATCATGATTAGAGAAGAATGAGTATAAGGCAGTTACTAGATTTTGAAATGTGAAACATTTTAAAGGAGAACAATTGTCAGTGCAGTAACTAATTTTCCTAGGACAGCTACTTGGAACAATTGGCCAAGAGTCAGTTTGGTATAGTGATTAAGGCATCAATCTAGAAACCAGGAGACTGTGAGTTCTAATTCCACTTTGGACATGAAAGCCAGCTGGGTAACTATGAGGCGGTCAGTTTTTCTCAGCCCAATCCACTTTGAAGACTTGTGGGAAAAATAGGAGGAGGAAACTGTATGAAGTATGATTGTTGCCTTGAGTTACATATAAAAATAATAAAGATGGGATAAAAACAAAGATGGGATAAAATCCCAACATAACTAACTGGCTGGAATTTTGTGAGCTGGGAACAAAACACAACATGAAGTCTTCTCCTTCTGGATATTAGAAAGCAAGAATTTATAGGAATCACATACACCAGATATTAGACTTGCCTTTTCACATATATAACATTTCCTTTGCTTCATCTGCTGCTTATCTCTGCAGGCAGTAAAGGTTCTTACATGCACAGCCATTTCAGCACATCAAATCTCTCTTCTGACCTTGCTCCTTCCATATGCTGTTGCTCTACATGTCATCATTTAAGGAACAAATGAATGAACACCCACTTTGGCTTTGGACTATTTCCAGCAATATGACTTTTAATTAGGTAAGTACTGAGGCAAATAATATAGATGTAATAATTTGGGAGAGCATCCAAAGACAACTATTATCTTTTGCTGCCCATTATCCCAGTAATAAAGCCAAGTGACCCGTAGAAGGTAAAATCAAAAAGCTATTATGGGCTTTTCAGGCTGATGGGAGCATGCTTGTTTTCTTGGTCCTTGGATAGCCTTGTCTGCCACCACTCTGCTATGATCTTGCTAAAGAGCTGGACCTGGTGCCAGTGGTCTCTTGCATTTGTATTTCATTTAATGAACAGAATGGTTCCCTGTCACAAGTCTATGTCTACCTGTATAACAGTAGGATAAAAGGATCATGGGAACCATTTTACAACCCTCTGCTGATGGATAGTGGCCATTAAATTTTAAATAGTGGTCTATCAGCCCTGACTGCTCTTTAGAAGTCCAGATCCTGAAGACGAGACTCAAATATTT